TAATGGGAAAAAATATTTCAGATATAATTAAAATAATTTTGAAAGATAAATATGATGTAGAAACAATTTTTTTTATATATTACGAAAAATTGCAAAAATTGAAAATATTCGTTATCGATATCATTTTATTGCAAGAAAAGCAAAATGATAAATAAGAAACTAAATGCAAAATGATATCTGAAAGAAATGAGATCGATTTTGATCGTTAAACATCTTGCATATTTTGCATATTTTGCATACCTTGCATATTTTAGGTTATTGTACATATTTTTCGCTACAAATCGATTTTTCTCACGCACGATAAATATATTTCTACTACGATTGACTAAAATTTGCATCGTTCTCGCTAATAAAAGAATAGCGATGGGTGTTTATAAAATGATAAAACGCACACCTTCAATATATGATATAATCAAGGCGATTTTGAAAAAAAAAAAGAAGCGTGTATGTGTGCGTCATAAAACTACACACACATATTTGTTATCCATCGAGAGTAGAATTAGCCAAAATGATATACCATAAAAAAACGAATTGCTCTTACATTTAAATATAAAAGTGAATCAATTGTCAAGTATAATCATATAAGTGATACATTTAAATCGAGCTTGTTTTAGATATGAAACACTACATAATATAAAACACATTGTGCATTATTGCAAAATTTGTTATGATTTGTTTTCATAAAAGAAAGATCTGATTTGAACAGATAGAGTAGTTTTCGCACAAATGTTAAACAAATGGCATTCAACATGATTCAATAAAGAAAAACTATATGTATATCTTTTCACGATGTGTCTCTCATATTTGCATCGCGTAAATACGATTGTTTAACTAGACTTGAACGACGAACACGATCTTATCTTTTTCTTATCTTAAGAGCACGGTTAATGCGAAACGTCCTGATAATTGTTATATGTTTAAGCGTTATTTTCTCTTCGTAAAAGTGAGGAAGATAGAGATAAGAGTATTAGTAAAAGTACATCTCATTAATAAAACACATGTAAAAAAAGTTAGTATATGTTAGTATTAATCAATTAACGATAGATTAAAGACATTAATAAATGTCTTAATTGTTAGGATTATTTTATCTTGGAGTTTCCTGTTGGCAGAAATAGGGATACTATGTGACTTGTTATCGTTTGAAAAAACAAACTGGAGGACGCTTCACAAGAATCTGATTCTGGCACGATAATCAGTAATTATCTTCGATTATAATATTAGCCGATTAAATCGGATTTATTGAGAATTCATAGCTAAATTTGTATATATATATTGTATTGCGCGCGCGCGTGTATGTGTGTGTGTGTGTGTGTGTGTGTGTGTGTGTGTGTGTGTAAAGTAGCGTAGTTTTTCTCGCATTGACTACTCATCGGAAAAGAAAGATTTATACTAAACCCTTAATAAAGGTAAACTGATATCTTATGTGTGTAATATTTCTTTCGTTTTTAAGATTGTGAGACTGTTATCTTAATTCGAGGTTTAAAAAACGATATCGATTGAAGATCGGTTTAGCTAATTTACAGTAGCTATTAGCGCCGAAATTTTAATAATATATTTTGTAAAATTTATGCTGGATGATAGTAGAATTAATTAAATCAATCGTTAATATTTTGAATACTTGTTATCAGTTATTTTATCATTATTATCATCACTACCTTTATCTTCTTCATCTTTATCAGCACATCATCACCGTCATCGTCGTCGTTATCGTCATCATCATTATCATCATCATCACCATCACCACCATCACCACCACCACCACCACCACCACCACCACCACCACCACCACCACCACCACCACCACCACCACCACCACCACCATCATCATCATCATCATCATCATCATCATCATCATCATCATCATCATCATCATCATCATCATCATCATCATCATCATCATCATCATCATCATCATCATCATCATCATCATCATCATCATTATTATGTTCATCTTCTTTATCATCTTCATCATCTTTATCATTAGTAATCATCATTATTATTAATTTCTTGGAGGAGTGAGAAGAGACTCTGACTTTTCTTTAATCTTTTTACTGTATTAAACATTTTGGGAAGACTTGTTTTTTCGTTTAATGTTGTTGATTTTGTCTTTTGATATATATTTCCTCGTTTTAATAATAACAAATATTGATGGAGAAATATATTATTTACATGTACACATTGTACATTCTTAACAATCAAATATTATCATTTACAAAAAAATGAATGGTGCATTTAATGAATATGTTAAGTGATGGGCGATACAAATAAAAAAATGATAAATCTATCTGCTCTAGGTAACTTAGGTAACTCTATACTTTCATATCTTTCTTTTTATTTCTCGCATTTTATATGTTTCGCATTTTAGTCGTAAATTAAAACGCATACATCATAAACTAAAAATCTAAATATGGCATATAAAAAAACGTATTTAACATAATTAAACTATCACTTAAATGACATAAAACATTCAAAAAAATAAATTAAGAACGAGGTAATATATGTATACATTAGATTCACAATTCACACACATATAGAAATTAATCATTGTACAAATAATATTGAACTTTTATGTATTTAGATCATCCAGTTTTTTTTACCAGTCGATATCGTATGTACAAATTGGCATTTGTTTGGATTGCAATATTGTCTTTTGCTTTAATGTTATTCCGATGTGTGGTCAAACGAGAACATATATCGCACATCGATGTAATAATACGATCAAGCATTCTCTTTAAATTACGCTCACATGGCGCATTTTCCTC